TCTGTTAAATGCTCCGTCCTCGTCCTGATGACCACGTTTACATTGTTGACACTGAAAACCTGAAAGAAAATAAACCACAAAACCAAATGACCGGCTGCACAGTTGCAGTTTGTTTTTTCTAAATGTCAGCCATGTAACTTTATCAAACCTTTGCTTCAAATCCATTGACTGCTTCGGTTTTGTCTGTTCTCCAACCTAAAATCCCAGATTTGCATCTGTTGGAAAAAATTTTTAAATATTTGAGAAAACAAGGCAACTTCATAGAGAATGTTTTGCCATCTTAGAACAACCCTTTACAATGCAGAGAAAATAATAAACTGTGATGGCACAGATGAGTACTAACCTAATTAGAGACAAACAATAGCTGACAGTAAAAGAGATTAAATAGCATTAAAGCTACTTGTTTTGTGACTGATGGCAACCAGAAAGAAACCTTACCTTTCAAAAGCAATATCCTTTGTGTCCAAATAGGTGTTGACAACAGGTGTTGTCAATCTTTTGGCAACTTCCTGTTCAGCTGGCTGCATCGACTCCAACGTGACTTCTTCCATTTCTTGGGATATGTTGAAGCGCTCTGTGTCGACGACGCCATCATCGTGGTTCACCTCCATTAACTCTGCATGGGAATCTGTGAGGAAAAAAAAAGCAAAATGTTTTTTACGCTTAAACACCTTAGAAAGCATCTGTACATAGGAGTTTAAAACACACATACCGTCTCCTTTGAAGATGTAACTCCTTCGGCCTCTGATCCACGTCATGTTGTCAAAGCCCAGAAGGGTTGCGTCAACTCGAAGGCTGGCACCACTTTTCCAAATGCGACAAACGTCACTCGGACATATCCGGGACAGGAGAGGGACTGTGAAGCAACAACACGAACAGTGGAAAGAATGTGACGCTTAGCCTGAACGTCAGCAAACAAACCTGACAGAACAGCACAGGCAGGTATGTTGTTTTGCCTGTATGACCTGATGAAACCTTTATGCAAAGAGCTCTGGATGCTTGAGCATCAGCTTGAATGTGCCTTTATAATAACACACACACACAAACAAGCACACACTAAAAAAAAAAATCCCACTTACTCCAGCTGGTGAATTCCCATTTCATTTCCATGTAAAAGTCAGGAGACTGGTGAGAGAGAAAAAAAAGCAATTGATTCTACAATAGTAAACATTTCCAGACTTACAAACATTCTGTTAAAAAAAAATTGAATAAAAACCTCCTTGATCTTCAACAGCAGCTCAGGCACTCCTCCCAGAGCAGTGGAGGCTTTGAGGTAGTCTCTACGCTGAAGCACTAACTGAACCATCTCTGGGTCTCCAGTGCTGACAGCTTCCTGCAGCACTGCACAGAAGAGCATGGAAACCACAATGCCTGTTAAAATATCAGCATCGGTCCCACTGCTATTGCAATTCTCCATTTGAAAACCTCAGTAATGGTGGTGGTGAGCGCTTTACTGTAACTGAGGGAGTATAATAAGCATCTACAAGAAAGTCCATTAGCAACAGATGACGAGAGGATTTAGGAGATAAAATAACCATGAAACTGATGAGGATATACCACAAATAAGAGAAGATGAAGGACAGTGTTCTACAGAATTACTTGGCCGATATGCAGCAGGCTAACCTGTCCAATGCTTGGCATTTTCTTTAGTCACTGAAGCACCGTGTCTCAGGAGAACTCTGACCAACTCCAGGTGTCCGAGCGACACGGCTAGGTGCAAAGGTGTTCGACCCCGGGGATCAACGGCCTCGATGTCATTCTGAGAAAAAAAACGAAAACAAACATACAAGAAACATTACAAGTACAGAAATTATGTCATACAGTACAGGTAAACACTCGAAGAGGGTCACAACAACAGTCTACGTTTACCTGAATGACATCCCTGTGCAGTTGTAAGTACAAATTTTAGCAGCGGTTGATAATTACACGAACCTGCGCCACCACATAAGCATAAGTTTTATGAGTCACGCTGTAATTGACATGAAGTCATTGGTTAGAAGAGCCAAAGTCCCTTCGTAAAAAGTCTCCCTTAAATCAACTCAGAGGCACAGTAACTGAAGAGACATTATTATTTGTAATTATCCATTTTTTTTTTATCTTGTAAAAGTGTTTTTGTTACCTTCATCCAATGTTATGTCTTGACATGTTTGTTATACATCTGATATGCTGAGCATAACAAATGTTTATGACTTTTGGATGAAACTTATTTTCTGTAATCATTAGTTACAGACTGTGCTACAGATAGTTTCATCTGAATGGACGTAGTGGTGCAGTGTAGGTGGAAAGATTTAATCTGAATTTCCCTAAAGCACGTCACAAAAAGAAAATATAAAGTGCAAAAGATTTTATGGCAGGCAACTGCATTTAAACTTGATAAAACACACTGGACCAATATCATCAGATGACATAGACCCCCCAAAAACTTGGATTGTGTGCCTTTCCACTCTTCCTCCAGATGTTGGGATCTTGATTTAGAAATAAAATGCAACATTTAATTTAATCTGAAAAGAAAACTTTGGATCACCTCTGGTAAGACGCCTCTAATATGCTTACTACAAGAAATGAAACAGCTGTAGTCCATGTCCTAGATACAAGACTGGAGACTGTTGGACTGACTGCAGATGCAGATGAAAAACTGAGTGGTGAAGATTCTCTCAAGATTTCAGTTATTAGTTGTTTATAGATTGAAAAAATGAGTTTTTCCTTCCATACAACTTTCCAAAAATATGCTTGGAAAGAGGACTACTGCTAATCATTCTTAGCAATGACAGCTGTGTTTCCCAGGTCATAACGTAGCACTCTCATATTCAAAATAAACGTTAAATTGTTAGCCACAAACTTTTTCATTTCCAAATGAACAACAATACACCCCTATGCGAGTAATTAATCAATATACCACACGAGTTTCACTTTTGAATTACATAAATATATAAACTTTTCGATCAGTCTCGCAAAGCAAAGATGCACCTGTTGTTCCTTCCTGTTTTTCTGAGGAAGCTGCTGTTGTGAGTGAGCTGATCAGTCAGCAGGTAACTTTCCTGTGTGACAGCACAGCATCTGTCAACACCCCTGGCCTACTTTCACAGGCTACAAACACAGCGAGCAGCTAGCCTCTACTTTCATTTTTGTGGTCTTATCAGCTAACTTGGTGTTTCCACAGACCTGTTGTGATCGTATTTGCTGTTCCAGTTTCCTGTAGTCGTTCTCCCAAACTGCGGAATGAAGGGGAAACTTCCCTCGGATGTCTTCGCTAATGCTAGCCGTGGACATCTTCCTCTTTCTGGAGCCTTTCACTGCAGACAGTCTCTGAGCGTCTCATCTATGATCGAAGCGGCGGCGGGTTCACGCTAATTACAGTCAAATGTGCGCCACAACTCCATCGCTTTTGCCGCCGACGGCAGGAATGACACCCAGTCCAGTGACCAACTTCTTCCCGCAAGCCTTCCTCTAAATAAAACTTTTGAACAAGGAAGTGCCAGGAGCAGCACCTAGCAACAGCAACAGGGGTGTCCTGCACAGGAAAACGGTCTCAGTGCTGAACTATATCATCCCAATCAAATGTCGCAGTGGTTGACTTTAAAATGGTAGCTCGTCTGTTCGTCTGGAGATTTGTTGCTGACGTTGATGTGACACAGAAACGGATTTATCAGCCGCAAGCATCGTCTTTACCGAAAATAATAGACAGTTCCAGGTTGGACTAAACCATTTTACGTATCAGTGTGGGGGGGAAGGGCTAAATAAAGACGTCCGGAAATTGATCCCTAAATAAACAAATTCCCTTAAATTCGCATTTAAATATTAGGTGAGAAGTGAATATTATTGTATATTACAATAAAACGGTTGTTGACATTATCTGCTTGTGTTTAAATGTTATGTATGTGTCGTATTTCCCCTCTGACGTTTAGGTGTGGTCAGAACGCTCTCGGTCCAGGGGAGGGACATTGGAAAAGTGAAACTGTGTGGTTGAGGTTTGGTTATTTCCAAGCAATAAGACAGTAGGTGCTTCAAAACACCTTTATGATATTATTCCATGCTCTTCCAGATTCTGTTTCTCCCCATTTCCTAGGCCTATTTAGCTCATTTTAAAGGCATAAATACAGATATTGCTGCGCTCTAAGACGTCATATCTGCCACTCAGTATTTGTTGGAGCTAATACTAAATTATAAACTATGCTAAGTTTATAATTTATCCGACAGCACCCTCTAAAACTGACCCCCCCATGTTGTTGAAAGCAATTTGGACAGCAGAAAAAACGCACCTACTTCATATTACCTCGGCTACCTTGAATTTGAGATCTCTAGTTCAAAATTTGACATACCTTGGCTTTATTTAATGCTTTCTTGGTATTCTCTCCATCCAATTGCACAAGTCTGGGGTTAAGCAAAGGGCAGCTAACATTTCTGCAGACTTTGTGTCTGCTAACCCCATCTCAAAGGAGATGGGGTTAGCAGAAGAAGTAGAAAACCCAGAGTGACTTTGAATGACAACCACAAATTATATGCATCTTCATGGGTAATTGCTTTTTTTTTTGTTTTTTTGAGATTATAAGTAAGTTTGAATGCCACTTCCTTCTTCTTTCTAAAGAGATGGCAAGTTATTTTAACTTCATCTTTTGTTAAATGTGGTGTTGTTAAGTTCAACAATGACTGTCAAGGTTAATAAATAGCATCCTGTTCTGGATTGGGACAATTGTGACCCCTGCTGGACCTTTTCAAAAGGTGCCTGGATTATGCTCACCTCCTGTGTAGAGGTACGTAAAATCATGTTAACTCTTCCTGAATGATGCCTATCAGGTTGTGTGGCACCTGATATGTTGCGTTGTATTTATCTCATGTTCTTAGATATAGATCTAGAATTCAATAGATGATAATTCATTCAGTGTACACCAAGTTATTATCAGGGGGCGTCACAGTTACAGCGGCCTGAGTTTTGCTTCCTGACAGTCAAGACTCAGGGCTTAGTAACTCATGTTAGTAGGTCACAGTCGCAGCTGCTCCTTCTGCTGTCTAGCAGAAACTGAGGGGTAAACTCTCAAATGGGCGCAGGCTAGTAAGCGAGGCAGGTGGGTGCCTAGTCAGCTGTATGGCAGGAGAGAAGCTTATTTTAAATCTTGAGAGCCAAGGTTCTCATGCACAAACTCTAAGGCGAGCAGCGGCTAATGAAAGTATTTAGGTCCTTGTTTGTTTTCATTTATTTATTAGCTGAGTCTAGCTAACGCGGAAGGCGTCTTCCTCCAGCGCAACCAATGGTTATGGTAACGGGTTTAATGCTCTGCACCTTTTAGAAAGCATTTCCTGCAGATTTAAGGATGTCTAAGCGCCTGAGAAACACTGAGTTGTGCGCCGATTGTTGTGTTCCAGGTAAGACCATTCACACTGAGGGGTTTACTTGCATTTAATATTATTAATCTGATGACTTTTGGTTACTAATCCTTGATCGGATTATACCTGCCGCCCCGCTGTGCTTTCTTCTGCTTAGTAGTTCCTGCCTGCTTTGTACACAGACTAGTGATGTGCGTAATTGTATCAGAGCAAATGGCACAGCCAGATTTTCCGATCTTGAATTTTAGCATATGTTATAAAGTTTTAGTAGTCAGTGCCATGTTTGCTCTTTCAGTCTAATGTGAGCATGTGAGGTTCTTGCCTGCTTTCAAATGTGTAAGTCACCATTTAAGGTTTGGTGCAATTAGGCCCTTTTAAATCTGATTTATAAAATTGTTTACTGATAATAAAAAGGGAGCTATAGAACTCTCCCAACCCCAAGATAAACAAAGCAACAAAAATAACCTAAAAATGGATGCAAGTATTTTTCATTTTTATAATTGTGTGCAAAGTCTACAGGAGCATTTATGATATTATGAATTTTTGTTCAAATTTATTGAATTTATAATAAATGTATCACAGGCTGAAGTTGCAGCACTAAGAGCTAAGCCAGCAGCGTATATTATCACCATTATTGCCAGTGGCAGAAGTGGTAATATTTTAATAAATTATAACTTCCCTTTGTTAAACACTGCAATCTTTAGTTCAGACACAGTGCATCCGGTATTCAGACTACAAAGAGGATACTGTAAGTTCTTTTGATCAGCTTCAAAATGTGATTTTCAAAGTTTAGACGGCAGTATTTGAGTTTGAGTTTATTTTATTCAGAAGATTTGCAGGACGGTCTTCTATTGTGATATAAGCAAAAACCCTCCTATCATCTTGGTTCTGTTTATTGAATATAACTAGAACTTTGGCTGCAGTGAAACTAATTAGTCATTCGTTGAGCTTATTTCTCTCTCTGGCAATAAATCTCGTTAGAGTGTAATGGGCTGATCAAGGTATGCAAAGGTTTAAAAGTCACTGCTTCAAAATTGCTAAAAGTAAGTATGTTAGTAACGTTACGTATGTCAAGTATGACATAAGAACTAACTATTTAATCTGAAGGATGGTTCAGATTATATCTGACATTTTTACCCTATGACCTAGGGTAAAAATTAGGACAGATGCAATATTTTTAAAGCTGAAAATGAACTGTATATTTTTTTGTCTCTTGATTCTTTTCAAAGCCTATAAAACATTGTGACCTAGAATCACAAAATGTATCTTAGTTTACTTTTGAGGTTGGAATAAATATGAATCAGCTGACCTGTAACACTAACAGTCTCTTTATTTATCCTTCAATAAGTCTCACGTGGGACATTGTAGAATATATTTTTACCATTAAAGACAACAAATATGGGTTAATACTGCAGGTAATTCATGGAATTAGTATTTAAACTTTTTCTTTAAACCTTCTTTTTGGTTTAGGGGGACATTAATCTGCAGACAAATTGGCTGATTCAATAAATTCTCCTCTTCTTTTGGGAATTTAAAAACAGTAAAGCTCTACATTTTAGGTGTGGTATATTGAACTGAAGAAATACCATCCAATCCAAAATCGTATCAAGTAGTTTTAATCAATATTTCATTCAATGAGACTCTCAAACCAACCCAGACCAACTGCAGTCCAACATGAGTTGAATGGCATCTTTTTGCCATTCAACTCAAGTTGAATGGCAAAATGTTGAATGTAAATTATAGGCCTGGGAGAGACTTGGAGTGAGCTTTCACACTGAAATGGGCCTGTGAAAGCGGAACAAATAATGACTGCATTGTGTCTCAGATACTTTTCAAAACTTCCATTCGAAGGAAAAAGAGGTGACGTGATGTTTTTCAGAAGTCACAGGAAGCAAAACAGGATGCAAAGCGAATTGACTGCTGTTCTTACCAAACAATTCTTTTATTGTTATACTGTGTTTGATTTACCAGAAGAAAATCGAATGCATAGCTTCCCTTTCTTCAAAAATATTAAGCAACTATCTTTTCCTCTTTATTGGTAAATGGGAAAGTTTGCGAAGTATGCAGGACCTCGTCCGTCATCTTGTCACTCGGATTAGTTAACCCTGGGGGTTTCGTAGCAGCTGCCCCAGCATATGGCTGGCACCGATTGTTGAGTGTTAATATTTTTAGAGTTTCAGGATGTGGCATTAAGTTTAGCAGCTCTTGTTGAGAAATGCGTGAAGGAGGCATGTCAGCAAGTTCCAGCAGAGGCTTATTAAATGGAGAAAAAGCGAGTCCCAGGAGACAGAATCTGAGCGCCAACCCCAGCAGCTGTTGCTCCTGCACCTCAGCTGCTACTTAGACATTTACAGTCCTCAGTGTCTGCCCTTTCACAAAACCAGGCACTCAGTATGTCTGATAGTTTAGACCTTGTAAGGATCTTATGAGTTTATTTGGTTTTTAACTCATGTTTGGTGTCAGAAAGTTTCTCTGCAGCATAAAGACAGTAGTAGAGCAAACTGTGTTACATCTCTCTGTTTCTGTTTGTGGCACCGTGCATAACTTTCACATGTGGCTCATTTCTATTTCTCATTTCTCTTCTGCCTGAACACAGCAGTGAAAGAGGAAGCTGCTCTGTCAGAAGGTGCTTCCACCTCTAACTGCTGGTCCTCACTTCCTTTTTAGAAACTTTTTACACACTGCACAGCCTCACTTTAACATGCAATTAAAGCGGCTTTAAGGAACTATTGCAACAATACAATATACAATGTGTATTTTTTTCTCCTTTGGTTGCATTTGCATGCAGACGTTCTTAGAGGTAATTATAATAGTAGATTGATGAATATCTACTCCCTCCATCCATCATCAATGAAAAGAAAAAAAAAGATGTGCTGTGGTCACTTCGCCATGGCAACGGCAACAAACATGCCAGTGGTTCTTAGATGTAATTATAATAGTAGATTGATGAATATTTGAGATTTTAAACAGAGACAGACATCTTTAAAAAATCAGACTGTCAAAAGTTAAAGAAATTAATTTACAAAACATAAAAATGTAATAACTTTAATTTGTTTCATGCACAGAGATGTATATTAGTTTAGTTATAGTGGTGGGCATTACTATCTGCTAGACAACTGTCAGACCAGCAGACCTCCCCATGATTATGTATGTTTACCCTTCTTAAACATAACAATTCTGTGTGAGCTGTCGGACATTACTTTTTGTGTAGTGACTCTAACCTCGGCACAAAATATGAGTTTTGTGTTTGTGGTATGCATCTTGGTGAAAAAAAAGTACTTTGTTTAAAGCCTGTGCATTTTCCTTAATGGCTTTGCAAGATGTACCCAACCCTCTCTGCCAGTTTGAAAGTAATTGGGATTTATCAGTCTGTGAAAGGTTGCAAAGTCATTTCTAAGACTTTGGGATATCAGCAAACCGAAGTACATGATCCGCAACTGGAGAAAATATGCAGCAGTGGTGAGTCTTCCCAGTAGAGGCCAGTCAATCAAAATTACTCCAAGTACATAACCAGGAGGTCTCACAACAACCCAGAACAACATCTAAAGAACTGTAGGCCTCACCTGCATTATTTAAAGTTCAAGATTTAGAAACAGGAGATTTAGAAACATACCCGGCATAAATGGCCTCCATATGAGAGCTGCAGCGACAAAACCACTGATGACCAAAAGGAACAAAACATCCCCAACTTAAACTTCCCCCCAAAAAGATCTTGATAACAAGTGTGATGTTGCATTTGACTGAAACCCAGCACAGCACTTTAGAATCTAACCATCATACTGACAGTCAAAAATGCCGGCGGTCGTGTGATGGTTTAGGTCTGATTTTGACTTTATCTTCCTGTCTTTCAGAGCCTCGCTGGGCCTCCGTGAACAGGGGAGTGCTGATTTGCGACGAATGCTGCAGCGTTCATCGAGGTCTCGGCAGGCACAGCTCCCAAGTCCGTCACCTGACGCATTCCACATGGCCTCCAACGCAGCTTCAGGTTAATGACCCTCCACAGAGCGATAATCCTGATTTATGTTCAGCTTTGCTTTCAGTACTGTTCGGCACGCCGTGAAAGTGTCTTCTCTACAGACCAAGCAGACTGGAATGCCTTGACGTTACACAGCACATATCTTTATAGTTGTAGTTATCATTGGATGGGGCACGTTTTAAACAATTGTCTGTTTTACTCCGTCTAGATGGTGCAGACATTATACAACAACGGTGCAAATTCAATATGGGAGCACTCCCTTCTGGACCCTGCATCTGTGATGAGTGGAAAACGTAAAGCCAGTCCTCAGGACAAACTTCAGTAAGAGCTTTTGTTATGTTTTTCAGTCTTTGTTTGTGGAGCATCTATGCTGTGGGGGTTCAGTTTACCACTTGGCCCATTAGTGCCCCTATTTTGTACCCTTCCATCCGTTTCATAGCCCTCCACTTATCAGATGCAATATTTAGTTAGACATCACATTTTGAGAGCCATATATTCACATTCTGCATGCCAACAATATTTTTGGCCAGTTGGTTGGTCTGCAGTGGCCCCATGATGCTCGCCATATGCGATGCTAAAGCTTGCAGAACACGATGAAAAAATTGTAATGATGGGGAAAGAACAAGCGTCAGGAAACTGATTACTGATCAGAATTGATGCAGACATTACTATATTCAGCTAAGATATTGTGTCCGTATGTTTGTCTGATGTCATGCATGACTTATTTAGAGTATGAGTAACGAATGTGCATATCTGTGCAGCCGATCAAATGCTCTTTCCTCACACTTAGTTGTGGAGATAATGGGGCGATCTAAGCAAATTAAATTTAAAGTGGACATATCATAGTTTCAAATCCTTCATTTTCACATATAAATCATTCAGTTGTGGCCCATATAAAGTGGAGCTGCGATGCTTTGATCTGAAGTCCTTGTTATTGTATCCACACAAACCCATTGTTTACCCCAGTTCTGAGATGCTTTCCATCCCACCCCGTTTGGACACTTTTGTAATTTGATAGGAGAGATACAATTTTAAACTTTTTATTCCCAGATTTATTAAAAGATCTCTCATCCATCCAGCCTTACATGTTAGAGAAAGAAAATGGTACCAAAATTTGACAGTTAAGAATATTCGACTGTCTTATAAGGCAGGTACAAAATAATCAGAACTTTTAAAGGTTGTACATTTGAGGTAAAATGACCTGCACAAACACAGGAGATAACAAAATTCAGTATCCTTGGCAAAAATGAAAAGATCAATATTGAAATGAATAGCAAACGTCCCTGAATTAAGATGTAGTTGTTGTGTTTTCACAGATATAGTAGTTGTTGTGTTGGACAGATTTCATGATGTTATCGCTGAGAGAAAAAAGATTGCTCTTTACTCATTCATTTCATGTTTCTGTTTCAAAAGCCCGAACAAATCTGAGTTTATTAGAGCCAAATATCAAATGCTGGCATTTGTCCATCGCATGCCGTGCCGTGATGACGACAGCTCTACAGCAAAGGATTTAAGCAAGGTAAGAAGAAATAGCTGGGGAGCAATGTTGCATATAAAATATTTTTTTATCAAAAATAACCGGTTCAATTCATATAAGATTTTAGTTTATACTTTGCTTTTTAGAGTTAATGAGCTTCTATTTAGTAAAGCATGACTTCTTGTTTCCTTGGTGTATAAATATAACCTGGTGCAGGATTAGGTTTCACAACCACAAAGACAAAGGAACATACTATTAAAGAAAGGCAGTTGTCTGTTGCTCTTCATGAGGATTATTCTGTATTTTTTGGAACAAAACTTTTGACAGAAACTTTGACAAAGTTTGGGGACCCAAAGATCCTGGAATCTTTGGGTCCTCCGGTTGCTGAAGCAACAATTTCATTTTAAGGTTTTTGTGCAGGTATTTATTACAGGATGCAAAAATAATGTCGTACGGTTCTTAGATGTTTGATTCTTTAGCTTGTTGTGTTTGTATAATGTATGTTTTTATCTAAATTACTTTCCAGCAACTTCATTCGAGTGTGCGCACAGGAAATCTCGAAACTTGTTTGAGGCTGCTGTCTCTGGGAGCACAAGCTAATTTTTTCCATCCAGTAAGACTTGTTTTTTCATTTTAATAATTTGACTTAATTTGTGTGTGTGTGTGTGTTCTTTCTCACCGTGTTGCTGATAATTGATGCACCTCTTCCAGGACAAGGGAAACACTCCTTTGCATATAGCTGCAAAGGCAGGCCAAGTCTCTCAGGCTGAACTGCTGACTGTGTATGGTGCTGATCCTGGAGCTCTAGACAGCAATGGCAAAACTCCCATTGACCATGCAAGGTATAGCCTCTTGTTATTAACAGTTTATGTTTTTAGTCTGGATCTATGCATCTTTAACTGTTTGTGTTACTGCTGTGTTTTTTCAGAGAGGTTGGTCACTATGACCTGGCAGACAGGCTGGTGGAGATTCAGTATGAGCTCACTGATCGACTGGCGTTTTATTTATGTGGCCGAAAACCAGGTAAGCAGTGACAGAGATTTGTAATCTGCTTAATTGGTCGGTGCATGTTTTGGTAATTGTATTTCATTATCTGAAACCAGTAATGAAAGTATTGAGAGATTATACAGCAGAGGTTGTGATTTTCTTTCCTTTCAGGCTCTGTTCAGACTTGTACTTATTTTCTTGTCTGATTTTGACAAATATTTAAGAAATAAAGCGAGAAAAGAAAAAAAAGCAAGCACAAGGCAGCTCAGCGTGCAGCCAAAAGATGCTAAAGAGTGATAATGTTATGGTTGGAACCTGAACTAAGGTGTCATTGCATAACACAATATCCATGCTAGACAGTAGTGATAACAAAGTCCAGTTATTAATCAAAGGCAACTCTAGACAAATGGCTTTTTCGACTTGATTTAAAAGAACTCAGTGCTTCAGTATTTTTTTTTCTGTAGGTTTATTCCAGAATAGTGCAGAATAAAAACTGAAAGCTGTCTCAACTACATGCTTTATATTAGTGAGCTGTGCAGTAATTGCACACATCACTTTTATTATATATAATTGGTTTGTTTTATTTTTGAACGTTTGAGTGCACTACACTAACAGGTTAGATAGAAGAAAAGTCAAAATACTTATGCAGAAATCAATTATCAATTTAACCCAAACTGCAAATTCCACCACAATTGAAAAAGAGAGAAAAACAGCATTATGCCAGTTAATATGGTGTATTTTTACCACAGAAAACAAACAACCATTTATTTTCTTTCTTTAATTATTCATCTGATCAGAAAATTCAACAGACAAAACATGTAGGTCCAGGCTTCATCTGAAATTACTGTTAGTCATGGTTCTGCCAAATAAATCCGCAACTGTCCTCTTGACCCATTTAGATCATAAAAATGGCGAGCACTTCATTGTTCCCCAGATGGCTGACAGGTACGTTCCATTCATCTCGAGGGTCTTGTCTTCGTTTACATTGATGCAGTGCAGTCGGGCACATTTTAATGCCTGTGTGGCTCTTTGCTTAACCTGGTTTAGAGGACCCACTCAAGTTACAGTTTTAGCAAATAATGCAAAAATGTATGCTGTAATTTCACCTCAGTCTGAAAATTGCTCTTCAGAACAGTGTGCTTTTAAAATTACATTTAAATTGTATATTTGAACTTTTTCACTTGCTCTCTTTTGATGGAGCAGAAATGTGTAAGTATAACTTGGTTAAACAGTAAAGTTGGGTGAAATTCATCTGCATGTAATTGTAAAAGTTACCTTTTCTCTTCGTAGAAGCCCAGATTTAACAGAACTTGCAAAAGCCGCAAAGAGAAAACTGCAGTCAGTGAGTACTTGTCTTGCCCTTGGCAGTTTTATTCATTCAGTCTCCTTAAAGCTAAATGTGCTTTTCTTATTTATTCAGCTCAGTAATCATTTATTTGAGGAGTTGGCCATGGATGTGTATGATGAAGTGGACAGACGAGAGACAGATGCAGGTAAAGGAGAAATAAGTGTCTTTTAACCCTCTGATGCACATCTTTTTGCAATATCTTTGTGATGAAACGTTTTCATCACTTCATATTCCAGGTATTCCTCAACAGACATGTTATTGATATCATGCAATTATGATTTTTAATTGTCCTTTTACACATTTTAAGAAATAGCATGTTTTATATTACTACCCCATTCTTCCATAAGTGGGTGCAAAGTGACCTGCATTCATTTCCTATTTAATTTAATGGGAATCTTTGTTTCTTACCAGCTCTGACTGTCCAAAAAGTCCCACTCATGGAAGACTGGATAGACAATATGTCATCCATCAGAGGGTTAATTAGAAAAACTCAGTGGTTTCATGTCATCAAAGTGCCATTTTTCTTTTTTGACCGGCTTGCAGTAAGGTGCAGCTTTGCACACATCCATCGTCTGTATGTCATTGCTTGCAGTGTGGTTGGCAACACAGAATCACAGCACCTTGGTGTCAGAGACAACTCTGGTTCCTTTCCTTCCTGTAAATCCAGAGTATTCATCAACAAGAAACCAGGTGAGTCAGCGTCACAGAGACCGCTGCAGGTTCTGCTGCAGGTGCTTTTTTACTGCAAATTTAATCTTGGTACAGTTGTATAACTGGTTATTTTTCTTTAGGGACGACAGAAGCTCGCAAGATTCAATGCACATGAATTTGCAACTCTGGTCATTGATATTTTAAGCGACGCCAAACGCAGACAACAAGGGAATTCTGCCGGCAGTCCGAAAGGTCTGTATCTTCCTCTTACCTTCATCCAGAGTGCTGCTGACTTTAAAAACTACAGAAAACTACAAAAGTACTCACACTTGCCTGAGCATCATAACATTTTGGGACATTACAAGGCTATTTGTAATTTGATTTCACTATAAATTTTTTATAAATATGCCTTCTAGGTTTAATTTAAAAAGCACAATGTTCTGCAGAGGGTGAGAGATTGAACCTTTTTTCTTTTTTGCCTACATGCAAAATGTTATGTTTGAAAAATTTACACTTCACATCCCTTTGAACACATTCTCTACCATAAATCATAGTGGTAGCAATATTATGCTGTGTTCCTTCATTTATGATTTCTTTCAGCTAGTATTTATTATTGAGTTAAAATAAAACATGAAATGAATTGCCCATCTATTGCCATCCAATCTGACTGAACTTGAACTTTTCTGTGCAGAAACATGGGCTAAAGTTTTAGCCTCATGATGTGCAAAGCTGGGCGAAACAAACCCGTAGTGACCTGCAGATGTTTTAATTAAGTATTGCGTGAGGGGTATGATTACCATCAAATATTTACAACTATCAGCTACCTTGTTCTGGTAATACTCCAGAAGCAAATATTGAAGGTTGTAGAATTACAAAATGTGGGGAAGTTCAAAAGAACTTCCCCACAATACTGAATACTTTTGTAAGCCGCTGTATCAAACGGATCGACACTAACCATGCGATTTTGATCTTGTTTATTCCAGACAATGTTGAACTCATATTAAAGGGCGTGGCTGTCAGACACAGCAGTGATTATGACAGTGTGGCTTCAGATGAAGATACAGATCAAGAGCTCCCTTCAAGCAAAGGAGACAGAACCAAGGTATTTGACCACTGAATGAGGATAGATGCTCCCTGCTGGTGGACTTGACGTTGACCTGTTTCCTCAACAGAGCCTGGACTCTGACATTTCTGATGGCCCTGTAACTATGCACGAATACATGGAGGTGAAAAATGCGCTCACTGCCTCCGAAGCTAAGATCCAGCAGCTCTTAAAAGCCAATGACGATCTGAACGACGAGCTGAGGCTGATGCAGAAAAAGGTATCCCCCGCGCTGCACCAATGAGATCACTAACCCCGGGGGTCGCCGACTGGGAGGGTGGGGGAGTTTGTGGAGACACAGAGCAGCTTCTGGAGCGCAGTGTGAGCGCTCCCTGGTGTTGGAGGTTGTGAACTGATCGGTCAGTGAGATTGAATCGGTCAGCCTTCTTTTTGACCAGCATGTTTCAGAATCTTAATTAAAAACTCATTTTTTTTTTTTGTTTCTTATTTTTTACTTTATTTTTGTTTGCTTGACTTTCAGCAAAAGCAAAGCGTCATTTTAAATTTTTTTTTCCATTTAATAACGAATTATATTTTCATTGTGTTATCAGTTGGAGTGAATGTTATGGCATCTAATGTTACTAACAAGCATGTTGTAAAAAAGCATGACACAATTTACCCTGGATTTTAACGTTTTATGACACAATAGTGACTAACGAACCATGTATGTGTGTGTGTATGTTGCTTTTCCACATATGCTGTCTTTATATTTCAAAATGTTGAAAATGTTGTTTTGTTGCGCTTTCTAAATGGTTAAATTGAACTGAAAGATCCTGGTCAAACAAACTTGGAACCCTGTTGCTCTGGTCTTTAATCTGTGATTAAATCACACAAAGTGATCCACTGGCATGTTGAGCCACACCGGTCTTGATATGCGCAGACAAAAAAATAGATCTTATTTTCTCTCGTGTTGCATATGTTTTGTAAAGTTTAGAGTATCAATATTTGTATTTTCTAGAACCTGTTTGTCTAAGACTTGTTAATGGACCCATTAGGATAAATATATGCCTCTCTGTAAATTAAAATATTTTGAAAGGTTAATTTATTTTAGTTAATTAGTTAAAAAAAGAGAATCACATGTCTTAAAGATTAATTGCACACAGACATATTTCAAACTTTGACATGACGTGTACCTGTACTTGGACTTCATTTTTGTGGATGGTAGCAGCCAATGTCCACATTTATATAAAGTACTGTTAAAGCAAACCAGTCAATGCTTATAATTTATTTTATTTTGACATGTAATGTGGCCTGGACATGTTCTTTTTTTCATATCATAAACATATCAGCTCTCTGAACTTAAATCGGAGACTTTATCCTCCTTTCTCTTACCAAATCCTTCCTTCCCTCTTTATGTCAAATGCAATTTGCTGCATTCATTTTGGGGCCAGGTTTTGCTTTTCTTCTGAGCCTCTTTTTTATTGTTTTTGAGTCTGTTCTGTAGCTGCAGCTTTGTGCAACAATCTCTCGCTTGCTTACAACTTGCTTTGCATTTTGAGACCAAGATAAAGTCCTTTTTCAAAAACAACGTCCAGGGAATATGGCAGACGCGTCTGCATGAATTTGTTTTTACAGTAAATGGTAACTACTGAATGCTGACATTATTTAAACTGTATCTGAAGCTCTGACAATATTTCTAAATGTAGTTTTATGCAGTGGAGTAGATTAGTCTTTCGGAAATCTAGATTTTTAAAACATTTTGTCATTAAAGCAGCTTCAGATTTGTTTGTGTGTTTGAAATTCTTAATATTGACAAATATTTGCTAAATTAATGCCACATTAAAGTGTTGCCAGGATCAAATTTAAGGTGAAATGTGTAGAAATTGTAGGATAAAATCAGACGGGGTAAGCTTCACAGAACTAGCAACAGGGACTAAAGCTTGCCTTGCTCAGAGCGCCTTTTAGTGTACTGCTGACCGTCTCTTCCAGCTGCAATCTCTGCAAAGCGAGAACACCTCTCTCAGGCGGCAGGTCACAACAAATGTCTATCAGACCCCCAGCGGTACAGACTACCCTGACCCATCCAGCCCCTCAGCCCTGAAACGCCGGCAGTCTGCGCGGGCCAGTCGGCCCATGTCAATGTATGAGACGGGCTCAGGCCTGAAGCCCTATCTTTCCAAAGGGGAAACTCCTTATCCAGAGGAGGGTCTCCCCAGCCTGCAACCCTTTCCGCCTCATGTAAGTAAGACCCGCTCCCTGCAGCTTCCTCTCCACTGCTCACTTCCGTTGTCTTTCCCCCCTCATTTCTTCACCTTGTCTGCAGTCATGTCGCTCTGCCCTTGTGTTTTTATTTGATTTGACTTGCCACAGGGTATTTAGCTGCATCGAAGACTGAGATTCATCAAAAATGTCAATGCCACACATTTGTCTTGTTTCACCGTGTCCAGTTCAGAATCATATCTACGCTGTCTCGGTTTACTGGATTGCTGCTTTATTTGGACAAACTGTATTTGTGGAAGAAAGGTGATTAGCTTTGGATTTTTGTACTGTTTTATGTTGATGTGCATTAAAGCTACCGTATAAACACTGCGTTTTGTAATGCATGATGCTCGTGCACACACACACACACACACACACACACACACACACACACACACACACACACACACATTTGTTCTGATTTTCAATTTCAACAAGTCATGGTTACATTTGAATGCAGTTAATTCAGGATATTTGGAAAAATCTTCACAATTACAATCAATTCCTCATTTAAACCAACATATTTCATGTTTATAGGTTCTTCTTAACTCAGCCATTTTGTCATTATTACCACTAGATTTATTCTGCCTGGGGAGATGTCCATCTCCATATTTTTTTACCTCACACTTTTTCATTGAAATACAATTTAACCTCTGTCTTCAGACAGAAAGGGGTGCATTTGTGAACTCTTCATCCCTTCCTTCATTTCCATCCACCCTGTCTTGGTCCAAGGACGACACTTCTCAAACGGTTAAGTACATTTGCGCTCGGCCTGCATCCTTGTGGGACACGGCAGATCCACTTGGAGTCTACTCTCTGTCCCTCCTTCATAAGCTTCCTGTGCTCTCCTGCCATTTATCTGCCCTGCTGCATGAGCCGACCTCCCACTGGCTGCCGTCACTAGCATCATCCTCAGCGCACCGTTAACCAGTGGGAAGGCAGAGTGTTTTGCTGTGCCTTACAAAAGCATTCATTCCCCTTGAACTCGCTTCTGTCTGGTCACGTTACAATTTACAGACATTGACAGACTATGGGAAAGACCAACACAAATTAGTAAAGAAATAATTTGCAAATAAAATTGGAAAAGTGTGCAATGCATCCGCATTCAGCTTGCCTTATGTTGGGGCCGTGTGTAAAATAGTATTTTTGGGTAAGGCTGCATCTGTTTTGCTTTTCTCAGGCTGGACGGAGGGCATTGGTAATCATACATTTATTTATTGTTTGAAACAGATTTTCACAGTTTTAAGACTGGGCTTTGACTGAACCATTTTATCAAAGCTCTGATTTGATATTTTCCTCCTGGATGGTGAACCTGTGCTCAGATATGTCAACTCTGACCAGCTTACCTGGGACTGCTGAAGTATCTGCACAGCATGATTTGGCCGTCACTATGTTTCACCTACAGGGTTAGTGTTTCAAAACAGAGTGTTTAGCATGTTGGCCAAAAAAAGTGTCTTATAACAAGACCACATACTTCCACCTGTTTGCCGTGTCTCTTTCATGGCGTTTAAATGTAAGTTTTTGGGGGGTTTTTCTTCTAACAATGTTTTCCCTCTTGTCACTCAAACTGAATTACTTAGAATTTTTTTTTTTATGCTAGATATCAAGGTCAGAATAAAGGGGTCAGAATGCAAATGAATGCCATATTTTTTAGATTTTTGAAAACAACACAGTTATGCAGTAATTACTGCTGGTTTATCACACCCACGTACCCCCCGCACGCACACACACATACCTCCAAACACACACACACACACACACACACACACACACACACACAGTATATATATATATATATATATATATATATATATATATATATATATATATATATAGAGAGAGAGAGAGAGAGAGAGAGAGTACAGTAGAGTTTGAGTAATTTGGAGAAAGAAAAAAAGTCAAAGGTGTGAATTCTTTTGTAATGAAGTCAAAGCCTGATACCTGATTGTATCTGCTGAACCTTGAATTGAAAGGTGAATGGAAGCAGCTGCTTTTGTGAACATCATATTCTACATTTTAAGGTAAAATGGAAGGAAATTTCACGTTTATGAAATCTTAGTTAGGTATTTTTATTTATTAAATTATTTTTTTTACATTTTAGCTTCCTGTTTATCTTCAAAAACATTGTAACTTAGTTTAATTTTGTCCTGTGGGTGACAGGTTTTGCAAGAAAAGAGAAAAATCTCACATCTGTAGTTGCCAAATGTTTTGATCCAGACAGGTTTATCTGAAAAGATGAGTCAGTGACCAAGGCAGAACAGACATTTATGTCATGTCTGAGTGCAAGACAATTTCCTGAGGTGAGTTATTTTGTCTGCATTCTTATTTAGATTCAGATCTGGATTCGTTGAGAATGTGGAGACCTTGCGGTTTGTGAAAATTCTAAACAGGCTTGCAAGACGTGATTGTACTTGTAAGTCTCTGCACTTCTGGAATCTAAAGCTAAAAAAAATTCTTTAACAAAACCTATTACTGCAGGAAAGCGTGTCCTTGCAGCAGACTTTAGCTAAACATTAAGTCGTTTTTTTCTGCCATCAATTGTATTTTCAGTATGAGTTTTTTTTTTTTACTACACGTGAATAACTACCAGTAGCTCTTTCTTTGAATGGTTCGATCTTCAACTCAGGAATTAGCAAGCTCCCTTACACTTCTGGTCTTTTTAAGCTGGGTTATGATGTTGCTAAAGCACAGACATGGCTTCACACTGATTTTAACAAACCTTCTGAACTTTGTAAATATTCTTTTTTCCTAATATCTCTTTTCCTTGCCTGTATTTGATGCTCTGGCTTCAAAGCTTTGCTGGCCTGTTTTATTCAGCGCTGCTTTTTATTCTGAATGAATTGAACACATCCAGCAAGCAGAGGTTTTACATTAAGACTATTTCATTTATTATTGGATAGTATAGTCTAGATATTGGATAATATAGTATAGATAGTATAGTCTGCAGCGTGTTGTTTATTTTATTGCAAACTTTCTCTCCAGACCTCAAAGCTGGAAAAGCAAAGCAGCGTGCCAGAAAGCGACTATGACAACACATTCAATGACTCAGAGATGGATGATTCTGGGTGAGATGATATGTATGCTAGCAAATCAGAAGTTCTGCACCTTTTATGCACTTGAATGAAACTTTAGGTGTCGCTCGTCTTTTTACTCTCTTTGGCTTTTCCCTCTGCAGCTTTGGCAGGAGGGGGAGGCTGAGGAGTAGTGGGTGGCTTGGAGAGGGGAACAACTCCATCCCTGAGCTGGAGGATTTGCAGACGGAGTTGGACCCCACGCTGCCAAGCACGGAGGACGTCATCCGCAAAACGGAGCAGATCACCAAGAACATTCAGGAGCTCCTGCGAGCTGCTCAGGATAATAAACATGACAGGTCAGGCTGAAGGAGAGCACACGTTATTTTCAGCCTCCTTGTCCTTTCCTCCATTTCAAACCCTCCTCCATTGATCATTTTTCAGTTAGTTTGTTATTTTGATGCCTTTTGTCCACTTTTCCCTGCCAATATTTTCCCCTTCTCATTCTGCCTCCACCCGCGCTGTCCTGTTGCGATACTCTTTGGCTTCCCCATCCTTCGCCGTGTGTAGACCATGTGAGCGTGAGGGAGTCCGACGACTCCGTCACAGCCTGGGATGTTTCAGCACTCTGGTGCCATGGGCTGAGAAGGCCTCCTCCCCCCTCCAGCCTCTCAGCCTGCGGTCCCCTGACCCCACTTCCTGGTACTCTGGCCTCTGTCCCTGCCTCCCAGGCACAGTTTTATTTTGCTCTTTCCTCTATTTCCTCTGCTCAGTCTCACCTGCTAATAAGCTCTGCTTTTTGTGCCTCTACATTGTTAAATTGTCTTCTGTAAAAAAAAAAAAAGCTTTGTGGTTGATTGCTTCTAATATGGCATGTTACTTTGAAACAATTACTTCTGTCTTCATAGCTTCTAATGGCTAATAATGACCATCGTAGCTTGTTATTTGATTAGTGTCAGTAATAATATAAGTTTGTGTATTGTTAATTTAAGTTTGATGTGAATGTGACAATGTTAAACTCATGAAAAGCCTTTTTCGTCACAGCTTTGCCTCCTGCTCAGAAAGAATCCATGTGGCTGTAACAGAAATGGCTGCCCTCTTCCCCAAGGTTTGATAACATTTTTTGCATTTGCAGTCAAAAATTATTGTATGCATTCATCGTCAGCATGAACTTTTATCATAGTTCTGGGATTTTAATGATGCATCTGGCCCCTTGTTTTGTGGTAGAATTAACACAACACAATAACTGGGTGTCTGGGTTTGGATTTATTGTGCATTTCTTTCTAAATCACTCTGGGTCAAAATTATACATACAGTCCTTGAATTCTGAATTATTCCCTACAGTTCATAGCATTTATGGGTGTGTGCTGAACTCCAGAGGTGGATAAGGGGTGTAATATTGCAAGTTCAGCTCTTTCATCTCATCAGACCATGAAAAGCTTTTCTTCAAAAGGTGTTCAGTCTCTGTGGGCAGCTGCATATTTCAGTCACTTTTGAAGGTGCTGATTTTGGGGCAGAGGCTTCTTTCTTGGTCACCATGTTGATGTTGAGGGTGAACTGAGACAATAGGACCAGTCCTCCAGAATCTTCCAGTTCATAATGGGCTCAAGTCTTGGGTGTTTCCTGGGTTGTGTCTGAACATCCTAACCAGCTCATCTTAACTGAGCAATCTGGGTTAACCTTTGAAACTTAAACACCGGGTCTGTTCAGCGGCCAGTGATGCTGCATTCACTGCACAATGGTTAAAGCTTCAAAATAAGATTCATGCCAATGATGAGTGCAAGCTTCTGAACTGTATCTGACATGCAGAAAATGGTCCACTGTCTATGTTAGCTTCATCCTTTTGTAACCCACAAACCTGACTGTGGTTTTTTTTTGTGTCTCCGAGCAGAAGCCACGCTCAGAGATGGTGAGAGGATCTCTGCGCCTGCTGACCACAAGCGCCTGCCGCCTACAGAACGAGTGCCGGAAAGCCGTGCCTTTGGACGGCAGCTCAGGGCCGGACATGCAGCTTGTCACCCAGCAGGTCATCCAGTGTGCTTATGATATCGCCAAAGCCGCCAAGCAACTTGTTACCATCACAACAAAGGAGAATACTAACTAAACAGCCCCTGGCATGCCCCAAAGCCACCATCTCAGTATTGTTCCTATACTTTCAGTGACTGAAAAAAGCAAATAAAAAAATATTTTTAATGTACTGTGGTATATGCATGTGCTTTTTTTTTTAAATTTAAAAACAATACTGATTATATCGAAAGAGAAGGGAAAAACAGTGTAATGTTATACAATGTATTTAGCTGTTGTTGTAGCACAACTCCTCTTAAGGTAACATTTACAAAAGGCACATCTGTATTGCTCTATTATAGAGTGATTGTGAAACATCTTTACCCAGCTTAAAAGTAGCTAACAAAAAGAATGAAGCACATTAGACTGCATGCTGAAATAGGTCAACAATAACTGTCCAAACCATGTTTGTTTGCTATATTGAGGGTTCCTACACATTTAGAAACTCTGAACAGATTAAAAGTTACCTTATTTCTTTGTCTTTTCGGACTGTATAAATGTAAAACGTTATGCTCACAAACAACACCCATTGTTACTCTGGTGGTTTGCCTGTTGAATGTGTTAGCCATTCCTATGTTTGCCTTTTGGAATCTAAAATTCAGTCTCATAATTGTGGATTCAGTTTTTGCTGAGTGCAAATCTGGAAATAATCCGATTTAGTCATGTTTTTGTTTTTCTGGTTGTAAAATGTTAAAGAAATACGGAAGGAAATTAGATGAGAAACAACACTTGTGTGTTGTTTTCCAGATGCATTTATGAACCCCCCCCCCATGAAATTATGGTAACTTGAGTCCAAGGCTGAAGTATACTTAAACCAACAAAGTCTGAAAATAGATATATTTCTTATACTATTATGTTTTTTCATTCTTATCTGGAAAATATGGAAACTACTAAAATTAAATACAGATTTTTAAAAGATAGTGTAGGAACCCTATATATAATATAGATCAACTCGTCATCACCTTCAATATAAATAATTGAGCATCCAATTAACTTTGATCCATTGATCCAGAATGAATGTTTAGACGCTTCTTGGCACTGCGATATTAATGTTTGCTTCAATAAAAGGTTATTTACATATTTTATCAGCTAAATGCAACCCTGTCTGCAGTGAACTGCCTGTCTGTGCCCATTTAGTCAGTGAAAGTGAGTTAGGTATGTTCAGAGGCCAAGCTGTTGTCTGCCACCAGCACAAAGAAGATCTTTTAGTATTTAATGTTCCAACAATTTGGTTTCTTTCCACTGACTCCATGATGTCTTGCAGGTGTTCTATTCAGCTTTCGGTCTCATATATGTGTGTTTTGCTCTGTTCTATTTCTGCTGGTTTTATTTTCAACGTACAACATATGGGCTGAAACTGTAGATGTGTTCTGTAATTCTGAGCAACACAGTGTTTATCTTCCCAAAGTGTTTCTGAGTTCATTTTCATTTTGAAATCTCTTCCAAGTAAGTCCCTTCCTGTGCTCCACTGAAGTGCAGGGATGTATGAAATGCAGCATCTCAGCTGGAAATGAAGTAAAAAAAATATTTTTTAAATAAACTTTATTTATATGTAAACCTATTAGTCTTTTGGTATTTTAGTGTCATGTTTTATTACTTCAATAGACAAATGTACCCCCTTGTTTGACTACATTTCTTTTATTTAAAAAAAGTCTATAAAACAGAATAGAAAATCCGCCACTCTACTAGAACAACTCTAAAAGTGCAAAACAACAAACAATCAACCCTTCAAAAACATCAAATCGTCAACATTATGATGGCACAATATATGAGCCACTCAATATGTTCTCCATCAAAAGGCACTAAGAGACAGATTTCCATTTTTTTCGAATACCTACATGCATCCTTAATCAGATTTAGAGTTTAATCTGGAATCGTCCATCCTCTTCTTGGTGACCATTTGGATGGTCCTTAACTTGAGTAAGAAACTAAAAGTCCAAAAAGTGCTGACAAAATATAGATTTAGTAGGGAATTGTCCATTTATCTGTGTGTTGTTTTAATGTTTTGTGCTGAACTGAAGAATCACAAAGGAGTTGCACTATAAAGAAAGGTAGCTTCATCTACAGAGATTCTGATTTACTTTTAATTTTTCCCCTGTCTATTAAACATCAAGGAGGAGAGAGAGGCCACCTTCATTGACCACACAGTTGATTATGGACATAACGTTCTATAGAACATTTAGAACTAACTCTACAGACCCATACTTCATTATCATGAGTATCTGTGCAGGAGTTTGGCTATCTGTTGGCTACGTCCAGGCTGATCGAGGTTTGCTGTAAATCTGAAATGAAGAAGATGAAATTTAACTTTTAGTATGAAATTGGATTTTTGTGAATTCAACACTTAGAAATCAGTCTACTATATCTTTCTTACCCTTTCTTGGTAACCTTCCTCAGCCATTTTCTGCATTTCAGCCTTAAGGTCTTCCTCTTGGATTTCAATAGCCTTCTTCTCCTCTTCCTCGATCTGCAGTTTCCTGCGCTGCTCATCCCACTGCTCTTGTTCTTTCTGCTCCACCTGCATCGAACACATAAACCCACCTCAACAAACAGCTTTACAGCAATTCTGCAAAAGCCAGAAAATATTGTGCCCTCCGCTCCAACCTGAGTATCCAGCTCCTTCATCCTGGCAGTCTTTCGGTAGTCTTCAGCCACTTTTTCCAGACGTCTGAGCTTCTCCTCCTGCTCCAGCACCTGGATCAGCTCCTCCCGTTTCTTCAGAGATTCCTCTTGAGCTTCGCGGTTCTTCAGCATTTTGAACTCCAGCTGCTGCTGCCTCCCCACAAGCACCTTACAGAGAAAAAAACCAACTTTATTAACTTTATTATTCTTTATTATCCAAGGTATTAGCCATTCAAAACAATTTTACCTCACGCATTAGTCGTTCTCTGGCCTTCTTCTCCTTCTCCCATTGGACCTCACGCTTCTCCCAAACACGCTGAGCTTGTTCTCTGAATATACATGTGAAACATTAGGATACGTGTGAAGTTCAGATAGATTTCTGCAGATTGACATTGTAACGGCCTAGAGCTGTTTGTGTCACACAGATTGCAAGAAAAAAAATTCTGTCTGTTTATAACACTGTTGGTTTTAAGCAGCCTGTTGCACTGCTAGCTTCAGCAAACAGAAAAAGCAAACATTTTAGCTCTTTTATAAATTCTGCCTTTAAGGTATTTGTGACTAAGGCGAGGAAAATGAACTGACTGGATGTGTGCATATTCTTTTTAAATTAATTTTGTGAATCAAATGCAGAAATACAGCAATATCAGTGTAAAACAGTTGCAACAAGCAGCAGTTGGCGGCGTTTATAAATCCTCTCCCTTAGTGTTTACAGAATCTGGGCACTGACCTGTGCAGGACGTCAAATTCGGCCTCCCTCTGGCGCTCCAGCTCAAGCTGCTCTTCTATCACACGTTTCATCCAGGCAGCGTCGGCAACCGCTACTTCCCTTCTCACCGTCTGCAGCCTTTGTTCCTCCTTTTCTTCTTCCAGCAGAGCTGCCAGAATCTTGCGGTCGACCTCCTGGGGTTCACAAAAATTTTCAAGTTAAAACAATGCAAAGTGGAACATATTTGAATCAGCGAACTGCAGGTGGAGCACATTCACCAGTTCCTCTTGGATTTGTTGGGCTCTCGTCTTCATCTGAAGCCGGTACTGACGAATCAGAAAATGGCTGGTGGAACGACAACCAAATGAGCTCCATAATTCAAATGTGCCGGCCATGAAAGGACTTGTGGTTATTTATCTGAATCCTACCCAATTTCCTGTTTCTTTTGCCTTTCCTCTATCGCCTTCCTTTCCTCCTCCATCTTCTCCAGCTCCCACTGCTTCAGCAGCAGCGCCTCCTGCTCCTTCTTCAGACGAGTGGCCTTAGGGAGACAATATGTACAACTTAGGAAGCAGACTTTACACTGCAAACGCACCATAAACTTTGCCACGTTTCAGAGGGTGCCTGAGGAAAATGTGAGATCAAACCTTTTCCTCACAAGAAAATACTTTTTAAATGAGTAAAATCCTTAGTTTCTGTTCAATTTCTGTCTTTTCAGAGATGAAGAAGAAATAAGATTTGACATTAATTTATAAACATCTCTTCATGCAGAAGAGGATATTTAAAGGGATTTTCTATGTTTTTATGATTACAGGTTTTTGCAGTTCCACATACCTCCTCTTCCCTCATTTTCAGTTCTTCCATCTGTTTACGAAGCTCTTCTGCACTCTTCCGATCCTCCTCTCTCTTCCTCTCCTCTGCCTGCAATATCCTCGCCAGAGCTTCTTTTCGAGTCCTCTCATACTCATTTTCAAAGCGCGTCTTCTCCTCCTGCTCCTTCACTTCGTTCTGCATGTTTGATGAGACAAGTGTCAAACTTTCTTAATTATATGCCATGTTGAGGAGATTTAACCTGAGTAGATCCCAGACGTGATACTGTGCTCACAGACTGCATAAGTGCTCCTCAATTAAAAATGTATTGGTCCACGAATAATTGATGAGGTAAACAGAAACGAACCAATTTAATGACTGGTTGCTTTTATGTGGCAGCGCTGGGTTGTAGTAAGTGGTTTCTTTAAAGGATGTTGATTAGCATGATCATAGTTTAGGATATTTCATCTGACAGACAGATGAGCTATTCAACTTACCTGTTTCTTCTCCGATATCTGGCCCTCCCATTGGCTGACAACATGATCTTTATGCAATTCTGACTCAACCTGCAAACACAGCAAAAGAGTGAAGTTGTGAAATGACACTGACCTGTTGAGGTCAGGAACACCAGGGTGTTTTACGGTTTAAAACCCTGGACTCAGGCAGACACAAGTCATGGAATCTGTGCCTCACGAAGGGGATGAAGTTTCAGGATCGAATGGACATCTGAACAAAAAGTGTCTGTTTTCCCCACTTGCTGGACTCGCCACACACACAGTGCGGTCATAAGATCTTTGAAGCCTTTAATCATGCCACCGCCTGTCTGTCTTTGACAGGTGGTGGCATTTTAGTCACTTTTGCATGAATAGTTTAAGCATGCCTACCTCACGCAGGGTAGGGCTGTTTTTCTTCCAGTGCGCTTTCAGGAGTTGCTCTGCAACCTGAGAGCACATAGGGCAAATTATAACATGATATCATGCTCACTTTTGATGAAAAAAATGCTAAATTATTAAGAGTATTTACCTTTTTCCTTCTTTCCTCTCTGGCTTTACGAAGTTCTTCAGCTTTGTCCACCCTCTGAGTCACCACTTGGGTATTGTCAGGGACTAAAGCTCGCAGTTCTGCCTCCAGTTGGTCCCGCTCCTTTTGCAGCATGGCCCTGAGCCGCCTTCTGCGGTCCTCCAGTCTGATTTTCTTTTCCTCCTTCTGTCTCTCGCTATGGTACGCTGACATACTGGCAACAAGTGAAAACACCCCCTACAAAATTAAAGATTTTCTCCCATCTTTGTTTGCAGATACAGAGCTCAGAGTGAGGCAGGATTTAAGACAAATATTTAAACTTTAATTTGCGTTCAGTGGATTGGATTAGAATTCATTGTCCTTGAACTTTCCCTCATTTGTGATATCCTAAGCACAGATTTTATCACAGGCCCACACATAAGAATGCAAAATTGTGAGGTGGAAAGAAAATTGTGGCTTTTATTTATATTTATCCCTGTTTATCCGTAAAAAAAAAAAAAAAGAAAGAAGAAAAGAAAAAAAAAGAGACATTCAATCAACTGCCTTCTGAAGTAATCTAATTAGTCGACTTGTGTGTAATCTGATCTCAGAATAAAGACAAACAGCATCATGAAACACAGCAGACTAGTCAGGTGTGGATGTGTTTAAAGCAGAGCTGAGATATACAACAACGTCAGGAGTCTTGAACATCTCACAGGACGATGCTGAGAATGAGAGAGCTCTGTAAAGCACTGAACCATAAGAATCAGTGGCTTTCAAAACAACTTCATCATACTTCCAGTAACAGTGACCTCTTCTGGTGAAGTGCAACACTGCAAGCCAATTAGGCAGACGGGCTGGTGGACAGGTTTTAACACAGGCACATGTCTCAGTGACCTGTGTAGCACAAACTACTAATACTATTCGCGAGCATAGTTTCTAAGTATTACCTCATCAACACTAACTAAGACGCAATATTATATTTTAATTGCAAATAAACGTTGATGAGTGTGTGATGTGTAGGAGAAAGCGCAGAGAAAATATGGTACAGGTGCAATTGACCTAAGGAGAAACTTAGGTCAATTATTTTCCATGTCGTACTGCCATTAGGACACAACACTATTCCATCCTGTATGGAGTAACTGCAAACTAAACATGACATGGCTGAGAGCATCATTCACAGAAGATGTCAGTATGTCCAGGATAACTCTGGAAGAGCTGCAGAAATGTATGGCTCAAGTAGGAGAATCTGTTGATTGACGTTTCCACAAAATCTGACCTTTATGGAAGAGTGGCAAGAAGAAGACATGTAAGATAAAAGCATCTGGCCAAAATTCTCTGGCCTATGCAAAATGTTGTATGTGGCAGAAAACTAATGCTGCACATCATCCTGAAAACACCGTCACTGAACTGAAACACAGCGGTGGCAGCATCATACTGCAGGGACAATGACATTAAATTTACAGTCCAAGCGACAATGAAACTGACTAATAAAAGCACATCCGTGTTTTAGAATGGCCTAATCAAAGTCTAGAGCTAGGGCCAACTGGAAATATGTGGCAAAACTTGAAAAGGGTCATTGATAAACAGCATTCAATCTGACTGAATGCTGTTTAAAATGGACACACAGTTCAGCACCAGAAGGCTAAAGCTGGTGTAGACACATAACCCAAAGGGCCTTCGGCTGAAGAACTACACCACACTTTTCAGACTGTGAAAAGTGTGAAAATATCCCAGTATACACGGTAATATTTGAAAGGTCACAAATTGCGAGGAATCTAAGAGGCGGTTAAAATACTCATTCAAGAAACTAATCAATTGCAAAGCTGTGGATGGTCTTTTTGATGCCTTGGTATTGCGTTTCACATTTAAAAAGCCACTGAAAACGCCTGTGAAATAAAGTGAACGGTGATGTTTCTTGATCATGAGTTTGTCGGTCGAAGCTTTCGTGTGGGATCGTTGCTGTGCAGGACGCTCCAGCCGCCTCTGAGCCTTTACCTCCGCTGGAAGGATTGACGGGAGCTCCACGCCGCCTGCCTCTGGATTTTGACGTTCTGCTCCTTGAAGTACCGAGCGTGGGCAGCCCACTGCTCGCGCCACCGAGCCTCCTGATCCCGCTGCCGGGCCAGCTGGTCAGCCATCCTTCGCAACCGAATGGAACTTTGAACTGAGAAAGCCATTGCTCTGAAACCAAGATAATTCTGATAAATACATATATATATATAGAAAAGATACCAGATATTGTCGGGAACTTGGGAAATTACAGGGAGGATTCAAATCTGAATAATTAGCAATTCATTCTCTTGTACTTAAAATGCATTAAGAACATTTATTTCAGCTCCCACCAGAGGACTGCAGCTCAAGACTTTGATCCAGAAACACTTTGTTTCATATTAAATTAGCGGAAAGTTGGTTGTATTTAAATTGTCCTACTCGAAGCCTCGTATTACATTTCAGTATAACAAACCTTGACGAAATTCTTCAACTTCTCTCCGCATTTATTTATGTCCCTCCAACCGCTCACGGGTTTCCTTAGTTACCAAAACACTTCCTGGACTACGGAGAGACTGTAGGACCAAATCAGTCCACGCGAAGAAAATGCGACACGATTTTCATCGTCCCCGAAATCAGAGGCTGATTTTTAAGCATGTACTTATTAAGATAAAGCAAATATAAAATTACACCAATGTCGGGATCTGAGTTACAGATGTCCCTTTTACAGATTTGATGATCATATAAAACATGTCTTCTTTATGAATAAAAAAAGAGCCTTTTCAAAGCGTGATGCTGTCAACACAATGTTTCTGAGTAATGGTGTTAACATTTTGCAGGTTGGTCAGAAATTTTGATTTTGGTTTCATCGGATCATCTTCTTTCACATTTTGCAGACTGAACCTCTTTTTGTTTTCTTCAACAATCTTTTTCATTACAAATTGCTTCTCCTCAATACAACTATGCTGCATTATAGTCACTGCCACTATCACACACATTTGAAATGCTTCACAGCATATCGTTATCTTAAGTGTACCTTACATACTGGTGCAGTCTGACAATTAAATAATTTTTCTTTTATACATTGTGCTGCAATGCGTTTTATTTACAGGTATCAGAAAAAAAGGTAGCTGAATCCAAATGCAAACCTCACTTAGATTTTTAAAAACATGTATCGGTTTTCTTCTACTTGACAATTTAGTGCAACTTTATGTTTAACATTAACACTGACAAAGATGCATGGATATTTGAGACTTTCATGGTGCCTTTCAAAGTCTTTAAAAATATTTTTGGAGAGCACTGCAGATCATTTTAAGCCACCCCTACTGAAATTGACACACGCAAGGACCCTGTAGATTTTTGTGCTATCCTTTCCATCAATTTTCAGGTTGTTTATTATTGATACTTTTTAAAAATTAATTATCTAATTTAGTGATTTTTATTTACAGCTAGAGTGAACCTGTCTTGCGCTATTGATTTTTATTAGTCTGCAACTAATTAACAAATGGATTCGACTTGATTTAGATCCTTCAAAAGCCCTTGAAAACTGTTGACAAAAATTCCTAAGACTTTCCAAGGAACCCCTACTTCTTTAAGGAAACATGTAAAGTAATGAAGGATATTTCAACACTTTAACACATAATTGTACATGAAGAAAGGTTTCTTTACATTGGATGTGTCTCAGTTGCCCAGATCTCTTGGTAACCAGCTGATCACATGAGCAGGCCAGCAGCTGGATGTCCCTCAATGACCTGGACTCATTGTAGGTAACCTGAGTGTGTGTGTGTGTTTCTAGATGTGTGTGTGTTGATTTTCCTTCTTGTGGTGTCTCTGAGAATCTGCAGTGGAGAGTTTGGCAACCTACTGCTTTCATTTCAAAACTAACAGTGCATCCACACCAAAGAGATGGCTCTTCTGTTGGATCATCAGTTCAGACAGCTGCCAGCTGACAGACAGGTGGAAACCAGACCGTTTCTGGATGCTGTGTCGTACCTTCCAACTTTCTTTGGTGAGTTAAGCTCTGTTTAATCATTTTGCTGGAGAAGTTTCTAAGCAAATAAATGAGAAAATGCATAAAAAGCTTTTTTTATTTACATATTCTGTCACCTATTGTATTCAATTTCTATGACAGAAATAAAGTGACAATAGATATTAGGGGTAAAGATTCAGAAATGTGTAAATTCTGCTAAGTGCTAAATGAATTTTTTTTTCACATGCAAGATTTATGCCAGCATTAGCACTTTAAGGTCGCTAACTTGAAAGACATTGATTACACACGACCTGAGTTTGAATCTGTTGCAACAAATCCCCAAAGTTTACACCTACAATGCCTCTCTTTCCAAATGATAATCTGGTTTGGATCGTATTTCTCTCCATCAAGTTGTCCACAATCCTTCAGCATGCATAATTTAATCCACTGGCCTGGATTTTGAGTTGTGAAAATTGATTAGTACGGTGTTGAGTTGCTCTGGCCCATTCATCAGTGGCACGGAGCATCAGTGCATCTTTGTGCGACTTCATTCTGTATTAATATGCTAAAGTCCCTCCATTGAATTTGCCACGTGAAACCTTTGAGATAAAACAAGTCCGACACCACTATTAAACTCTTTCCTCCTCGTCGCTATTGTTTTTCCTGACCTAGAAACGTCTGGGCCAACTTTCCTACAAGCTATTAAGGTCTGGCACGCTGCTAGGACAAATTTATTCAAGTGTCTGTCTAATTAGACTTGGCTGTGAGGACGGTGGTCGATTAAATTCCTAATTGTTCCTTTAGTTTTGCCCAACTAGCTCTAATTACTTTGGTTTTAACTATTTTCTCAAAATTTTTTTGAGTCAACAGACTTTTTTTTACCTAGTATAAAATGAATGTTTTTCAGTATCAGAAAAGGTTTCTTCTTGTGATGAGACATGAAATAGCAGAAAATGCCACACAAGAGGACATCTCTGAAACTATATGTTGCCCTCAGTGTTAGGTGATTGGATACATAAATGTACATACAATAGGTGACAGTCATGACTAGTTCCCACCAACAGCTCAAAGGTTGAAAGAGGTTCAAGGTGTCAGCAGGTAATCGAGTCCTGGCCTGTTGACCTTTGTCGCATGTCTTCCTCTGTCTCACATCTTGCTTTCTTTTCTGACCACTCTCAGAAAAAACCCTTTTAAAAAGCTGGAAATTGTCATATTTAAATAACAAATGAAGACAATGTCTGCTTTGTTTAGCATTGTGCATTTTGTTTAAGATATTAAAGTTACGTCTGTGCTAGGATCAGATGCTGGGAGTGAGGCTATGAAAGAAGGTAAAACAGATAAAGTGAGTCTGGGGCATTGAGCGGCAATGGCACAGTCCAACAGAACAGAGATGGACGGGACTTTTGTATTTAGTATTCTCATTTCATGGACATTAAAACACAAATTTTATGAAAGGGTGAGAAGTGGAACAAAATGTTCATTTCTACCCCTCGCTTAGCTTGTCCTCTTGTCAAAAGTTTCCCAAGAATCCATATCAGCTTTCATCTTATCTCATCCATCAATATTTTTCCTTCGCCTTTCAGCTGTTTCTGTGTGTTTCTACTATATTTTTATATTTATTGAGATATAGCTATTTATCATCATTTTAGTCAGTTATTTGGTACTTCTAAAATTTTGTTGTGCTTTCTTTCATGCAAAATGACAATAAAAGGAACTTCTGATATCATAAAGGCATTGTCATTTTGCTGGCTTTAACTGTTAGTAAAAAGTTCATAGTTCTCCATTCATAAGAAGAAGTTTGCATTTCCTGTACATGCAAAGTTCAAACATAACTCAGTTTGAAATGGTAGGTTTAATAATTATCATGTGTAAAAAGTCCTGGAGGTTATAGTACATTCTTCAAACTTGAAAGTCCAAGTTTGATTGGGACCAAACAGAACCGGCTCTGAAGCCTCTCAGTTCCAACTTGGACAGTTAAAGATCTAAGACCCACACCAGGTTCACTTTTGCCTCAGGTATTAACTATTTATTAGCACTTCTTGTGGTTTGTATGTCGTTAAACCAGTGACACACATAATACTTTGCAACCTCTATTTGTGAACATATTCCTTTAGTGTTTGAATGCATTAAATCAACAGACAGAAATTGTCATCTTGGATCGCTCGATGTTATTACTGCCTTCACGATCCAGAAATCTTGTAATTTTATTACTCAGGGCAAGAACGTCTGAGACAAATCAAACTCAGCATGAATTCATTTTTTAAAGATGAGACTGTATTCTGAGCTTCTTTTAAAATGTATCGCATCACCCTTAAAAACCTAAGAAATGTTTTGATTAAATTGGTGATTTTGTTTAATCCTCAAACAACTCTCGCTCCATCCTCAGACTGCCTTGGCCCAACTATTTTTGCACCAATAAAATCTGATATATGCGGCAACCTCACAGTAAGTATAATTTATGAGTTCACTGCTGTGACTACATTTTACAGCAAAATTAAAATGATGTGTACTGTCTTCACTGACAGAAAATCAAGGCAGTTTATGATACCAACCCTGGACGCCACAAGACGCTTCAGATGCTCCTAGAGGCTGAGAAGGAAATGCATGGAGGTGAATGGCCTAAAGTTGGAGCAACGCTCGAGCTTATGTGGCTCAAAAGGTCTCGTTATTTTTATATTTCTTTCAGTTTTGCGTAACTTGAAATTATTTTTCTTGTTTTCACCTTTGAAGATCCATAAAAACTCATGTTTCTCCAGGAGTCTCAGATTTATCCAAGCGTTCCTACAGAGCCTGGTGGATGGGGAAAAGGACAACAGCAACCCCAACCTCCTCCGAGTCAATATCACCAAAGCTTATGAAATAGCCCTGAAAAGGTATCATGGGTGGTTTGTTCAGCAGCTCTTCAAGGTCAGTTCAGGATGAGGAGTTTGCTATGTGTGAATTAGATGTATCAAGCTATGAGCCTGAATACAACTTTTCCTGTTTTTAGGCAGCTATTTATGCCGCTCCCTACAAGTCAGATTTCCTGAAGGCGCTCTCCAAAGGTCGGGAGGTGAAAGAGGAAGAATGCTTGGAAAAAATCAGGAAGTTTCTCATCAACTTCTCTTCCACTGTGGATGCTGTTTATGACATGTTTAGTAGAATGAACGCTGATCTCGACTACAAAGTGTGACGATGAGAGTCTTCATTGGGCAGCTGCATCATGGCTTCCTTTCACTGTCACAGGAGAAATCCATTTTCAGTCTGCTATTGTTTTTAAATAAAGACACACAATTTCTGTTTTGCCTTACCTGTTCCCTTTCTGTATTTTTGGGGGGAACTTGAGAAAAGGATCCACCCACTGTTGTGTCCTACAGTAATTTAGGATTCTAAAAAAATCTTCACAAATCCATAAAACCTTCATCATAATGCTCTGTGCTGTTTGTTTTGTCTTCTGGAGGATTTCTTTGACTGTTTACATTTTTTAAAGAAATGTCTAATATTGATCATCCATTTTTGTCCTAAATAGACAAGCATGTCTGATTAAAGCGACCCTGTTGCTTTCATCTTTGTGTTTCTTTTTTGATTTTGACTTTTATGTATCTCTGTTTCCCTAACCACAGCATTTACTTGGACAGCAAATAGTTATTTGTAGATATACTGTATAAACAAACTGACCTTTACTTTATGGGTCAGTGTGTGTGAACAGGATGGCCAAGCTGAAAGAACAATGCAGATTATCACTCATGATATTTGTGGAACAGGACAAACTTTTCTTGTTTCTTGAAGAAACTTGTAGAGTGAAATCCAGTTGCTTTCTATTTATGTTCTTTGGATTATTTCCACTTGGCTGACTATGAATGAACACTAACATATATTCCCACAAGATTTCCACAGTTTTTTTCCACTTAGTTCTCAGCTGTAAGAGGAATAAGAAAAATGTTATTCCTCTTTGGTTTCAGTGAAAAAGGAGAGGTCTTCTTATAACTTTTGTCAATGTCTAGTTTTCTCCTGTCTGTTGCTAAAGAGTTTTTATTAAGTATAATGCATTTGCTGCTAAATGTGAATCCACTCCGAAATTCCCATTTCTGATTTCAGTTCAATTTTATTAAATGAACATATCACATTTTAAAGATAATCTGACACGAGTTTTTGTTTTCATTTTTTTTAATGTAAAATACACTAAAGTAAAGTTTGTGTATCTTTATCTTCTTTGCTCAAATTAAGGTATGTTTTTAATTTATTTTCCCAGTGGTCAGTCTATGAAGTCATTCTAGGTAGTTTTATTTACATTCACACTTGGATGTATTGTTTCAGAAAAAGCAACAACATTTATTTGAACATGTGAATTTCCATCCTTTATCAGCAAATTTAGTACTTTTCCTTTGTTAGCACTTTTCTACCAATGTATAAAGTACCTGTTACATTAAAAGCAGCTCATATTGTTGAAGTCATTTAATTCAGCTGTACAGGATTATAAACAGTAAACTCACAAGATGGAAAAATACCATTACAGAACATATAAGTGTCCAGTTATATCATTAAAAATGGCTTCATGTGTGAACTGGGCTCTTTACACACACTCTCTAACCTATTTGTCTGAGATGAGCCAGTGTGCAAAGCGGAATGAGTAAAAAAGTCAGCCATGTAAAAACTTAGAAAGTCATGACTGAGTCTCATTAACATGCTTACAAATAAAACTTTAAAGTACATTTGTTTATTATCTCTGCAGAAAAGCTTTTCAGTTAGATTTTTGTCTTAATAAGAACGTTCTCTTTAGTTGAAATATTTAAAGAAAGCCAACACTGACCTTTCTCACACACCGTAGAGGTCAGTGGTAAAACTAGGTTAATATTTCACAATGAAGTACCTCTGAAATCCAAGGAGCCATCAGGGGAAAACAGTGTTTAATTTGGGTTTCTGGACTAACCTGTTTTTCTTTGGTACATGACAACAAGTGATCCCTTCTGACCTCCCTCTGTGAATTTGAATCAATGAGAAACATATCACCATTTGTAAAGCCACAAAAAATCCCATTAAAGAAACAAATTAAATTTAACACATATGAAATCATAAAGAGAACCCAGCATATCAAAAGTAAGTCAGAGTTAAATCAACAAACGTAAAGACGATGACACTTTTATTGTAAAGTAGCTTGAAAATTCGGGGAACTATCAGGAATTGACTGGTGTTTGATTTGGGTCTCTGGTGGAACCTGTTTTTATTTATTTATTTATTTGTGCATGATTTCCCCTTCACGGTTAAGGCATGCTGGCCTGCCACGCCCTACTTATAGACCACTCCACTTTGTGCTTCAAAAGGTGATTCTATTCTTTTTTTTTTTTTTTTTTTTTACTAAGATGCAGATGACTAATAACCTCTGCTCTTTACAAGTTTAAGTAAGGACAAATAATCTTTAACTAAAGTGGCCAAGCTAAAAATAAATAAATAAATAAATAAATAAATAAACATTACGGGTTTTTACTATTAGACAGACATAAACAAGAGGACCTTGTTATCTCGACGTTCCCGTTGTACCATCAACTGTCTCAACTTGTCTTTGTGTTTCCAGGAAAAAGGAAAAATTTTCCAAGGATGATACCTGGTTCAACCTGAAGCCGCTTTGTGCTGTAGTCCGCCTCTAGTGGCTGTACGTGGTACTGCACCCCATACTTCCGCGGTCACTGCTTTAGGCAAGGTGGTGGCGGCCGCGTCTGTCCCTCCCAAAATCAGTGAAAGCATCTGTTGTTCGGCTGAGGTCTGCGGTGGCTGGACTCATGAAGCAGGGCGGCACTGTGGCCTCAGTTTGAAACATTTGGTTGGAGACACGTTGGAAGCAGAACCGGGAGAGAGAGTGAATAAGTCACAAGAGTTTTGAACTGTGAGACAAAGCGGATTGAGGAGTTTGCAGAAAAAGAAATATGGATCAGCAGAGTAAAAGGTGAGCTGCCTCATATTTTCTACCTAAAGAAGCTTGAGGAAATTGTGTATTTTGACTCAATATTAGTGCACAAATTAGAGTCCTAATGTTATAAGTCAGTCTTTAAATTGTAACCCCCGCACGGAGACTCATATTTTGTAAACAAAACCAATGTTGTGCTTGGTGCATTTTAATAGAAGATTCGAGTTTTTACTGCGTCATTTTAACACAGAAACTCTACGCGCACATCTTCCTGATGTGGATAATGTCACATCAGCAGAGTCAGGGCAGGGACACTATCACCAGGAAACATTAGGATCTCCCACACTGACTGTGGAGTTCCTCTTCCCGGACCCAACATGAGTGTTGTGTGTAACTCTTCGCTTCTTTTAATGTCCCTCTGTTACTTTAAAATGTTGAACACACAGCGGGTTCTTCTTGTCTTTTCAAAAGCCAGCCATTCAAATGCCTGCTGGAGTGTAAAGGCATTATAATCCCTTGTGTCAGACTGAGGTTGTAAGTCATTCGTCTTCCTTTGTTGGATCCCAGACTTGGTGTTTGTGTTGCTCTTTTATTGCTAAAGTCAGCTTACATAAGTTGGTTTGGAAAATTCATAATGACATCAGTGTTTTCTGAGCTAAAAATGCCAGTATTCCTGGTTCATTACATATTTCTTTGGGTTGTCTTCTTGTTTGAACATATGAAGGTTCATCATGATTTTAGCATCAAACTTTCTCTGCTTTCCACATGTCTCAAACGTTTACAACAAAGTTCTTGTGCAGCCCTTTATATATTTTTGTTTCTATCAGTCTATATTACCGGTTTGTTGTTATGTTTTGCAGGTTGCCCATGTCCTGCTGTATCATTTCCAGTTTCTCCTGAAGTGAAATTTTGCACACCACTGTGATAAAAGGGATGAATGAGGTACAGAAGAGTTAAAACTCGGTTTTATGCAGAAGGCCGAGTTTGAACTTTCACTTGAATATTTTCATTTTAAAATGACAAAGGTCTTGTCAATTCATCAAGAGCAATTTTTATTGGGCTTATATGTCATAGCTCAAAAAAATGTTTGAGAAAATAGAAAGGCGCACAACAATCTGAAAAGTGTGGAGTGCTTTTGTATCCAAAACAATTGATCCTTTTAACTAAATCCAGTGCAACCAATTGCCTTTAGAAGTCAACTATTCAGAAAACAGATTCCCCTTTTTATCAGGGTAAACAATACTCCTCTCCAAAGGCCTCACAGGTTAGTTACAGAAAACAAGTGAACAACCAACATCAAAAAGGGACACAGTCAGGGAGAAAGGAGTCAACAAGTTTTAATGTAGATTGAATATCAATTTATGCCACAGTTTTTAGGTTTGAATTTGTAAACAAACATGAAATTCAGAAGTTTATTTAACGTCTCAATTGTACACGTTAATCTGTTTATAAAACCCCCCACAATAAAATACATTGATATTTGTGAAATGTAAGAAGACTTACCACAGAAATAAATACAAAAAACATGCATTTGTTATTTTAGTACATGTCATTTCATTTTCTATTTTTTTCCAATAAATGATGCTGGACAGTCATGACTGAAAAAAAAAATAAAGAGAAAGCGCTGCAGGGAGAAATATTTACTTGTGTTTTTGGTTAAACCTTTCTCCAACATTTTGTCATTGTCATCGCTCCAGGGCCGCTCTGCTCTGCTCAGAAGGTGCCACCTCGCCAGAGCTGCTCCTTCTGAGGACGCTGGAGATGGCGTGACGACTCAGGCGGAAAATGATGCAGCCTTCCCACTGTCTGAGCTCTCAGACCTGTTTGAGAGCGAGGATGGCTCCCAGTCAGCACAAGACACAAGTCTGGATACGACTCTGGAGCAGGCGCAGCCCGGCGTCCAGCCCGGCGTCCAGCCCAGCGTCCAGCCCTCAGACGGCAGACAGAACCTGAGGATGAAGTTTCAGGGTGCATTCAAGAAGGGCATTTCAAACCCAATGGACCTGCTGGAAACCACCATATATGAGTCAAATGTGGTGCCAGGACCTAAAAAAGCCCCCATGGATTCCCTCTTTGACTATGGCACCTATGGAAATACAAGCAATCAGAAGAAACGCAGAAAGAAACTCCCAAGAGGGTGAGACTGCAGTGTCTCAGTGTGTTTCCTTCACTGCTTGATCGAGACGTTCGTAAACTGTGTAAACTGGAAAAATGTTGTCAGTATGCGCACACACACTTTCAGTCTGTTCTTGGCCTAACAGAGAGTATGTTGTTTGATCCTCTGTAGCCGT